ATAAATCTTTCATTTTAATTATTCAAAGGATAAGTATTCCCCTTATGTTTGTAACAAAAACTAAGGTGATTATTAATTTTATAAATAAAATAACGTAGATCATTACAAGGTGATCGTTTTCCCGGTTGTGAAGGGTATCTGCAGCTTCGTTTAGTGGGAGCTTGTACCTAGTCCTCCTCCTCTTTTGGCATTTGCATGGTGCTCTTTGTGACTCTGACTCTCTGATCTAAGTTCGCACAGGTGGCACTTGGTGTGCAGATACCGGAGGAGGAGGAACTCCAGTGGTCGTGTCCTCTTACGAGCTTTGCCCTCGTTAGCTCAGCACGTTGCTGTTGCAGCTAGCCGGATATCTATATATAGCCAACTGGTGTGATTTTGATTCATGGCGCGATTATATGTGCGCACGCAGTTTATCTTCTTTTCTTTTTTCGCTCCTTTTTTTTAGTTTTTTTTTTTTTTTAGTAAGCAGCAACACAGTAGCCTGGGCCCAGCGTGAAGGCCTGAAATCCGAACACTTTCTGAAGGAGTCCGCGTCGGATGCCCTGGCCGCTTCCCCTGCCTTGTGGCACTTAACATTTTATTGTTAATAAAATATATTACAAGGCGCAATACAAAAGGCCAACCAGCCAGCAGCCAGCCTCTCGTGGCTTTCAGGCCCAAATGCGTTAACGAAATCATCTGCCTCCTTTTGGCCAAAAGGCCCCACCATTCCGCTCCTGGGAATGTCGCGTGAGTTCGTGTCGTACATTTAACGCGTGACTTCTTTTGAAAATTGTTCATAAATTTCGCGTTTAACAGTAGCAGAAAGGCAACGGCAAAAAATGACCACAAAAGTCCGGCCAATACAAGACCGTTGAAGGCTGCGGCCAAGGAATTGGGTAACTGAATTAATCGCAAATGTATAGATACCCTGCAAAGTTATAGATATGATAAAATAATAAAGTTAAGATATTGGTCATCATTTAAAATGTTTTTGTATGCTGTTAAATTAAAATTAAAATCATAAATGTAATTAAGAACTATAATGAAAATTAATTATTGAGAAGAATTTTACTTCTTATGTACAGTATTTTTTTCAAGTTTAATATAAAACTTAAAGTAACTTGACAACTCCCAAAAAAGATAATTCATCCAGAGCACCCATCATCCATACGAAGGAAATCCCCATTTCGACACGGATTGTTTGGGATCCTCAGAATCGTAATTTTGTGGACCTCAACGAAAATGATTTCACAAATCCGACAGATGCAGCGGCCATGGACCATGGCGACAGATACTTCGTGCGAGGTGGAGGGCTGGGGAAATAAATTACCGGTCATACCGCTCCTCCCTCCCCTGACATTCGCTTATTATAATGCAAATGCAATATATAGACTCATAAATTTATGCGAGCATTCGAGTATTTCTAATTAATAACACACAAAATGTAATCAGCAATGTTAATTAGGCACATCCGCTGCCTGGCTCATTCAGCGTTGTCACCTCCACTCCGCCGCGGTCGGTCCGGGTTTCATTCATAAAAATCTGACTGAGACTCTGTCACAGTTTTCGCTCCGGTCACTGCTGCCCACATGGCAAACTGTTAGCTGGATTTGCATAGCCCGTAAGCCAAGTCAAGTGATCATGGCTGCTGCTGTAGTAAAAAGGCACAAAATCGTTAAAGATTTCGTTTGCTTGTTTTCGATCATTCAAAATGTTGCAGAGAGAATTGCCAAACCGGTTCGCCGGTTATGAAACTGTCTGTTTCTGCTTCACTTTATCGGTTTTGGGTTTTTCGGTCTGACTCTTGGTGTTTTTATGAATGGAAGAGTGTAAAATTTGCATTTGAAACACGTGAAGTACCCCTCAAGATTACTCATACGCCCCAGTGAACCAAGGGAGAGGAAGAGCGATTCAGTTCCGCCAATATGTAGATGTTTGCGGGAAAAAGCTGATTCTATTATGAATCAACATTTCTCTGACAGGTGCGCCAAACTGATTCATCTTCGCGCCGCGGCCACACAAACAACTCTGCTAATTCGAATAAGCAAAATGAATTGTTATTAATTTATTACTTCCGGTGCTGCCCAGGAATGGAAATATATCTAATGCTCTAAACACTTGTCAAATACCACTCTCTGTTTGTTCCATTCAGTGAATAGTGCCCACAAAAGGCGCCAATTATGTCGGTGCCGAAATGATACCTCAACTGGCCCGATCACTGTGCCGCCTGCCTTTCCAAACAAAAAGCCCCAAGACGAGGTCAAACTCAAGCTGTGCAATCGACCAACTGACTGACTGACTGACGGCCACGATCTGGACGATCGACGGCAGACAGGCAATTTGTAGACTTTTCAAATAGTTTCAAATGGAGCCCAGCCTGTCCGCCAGCAGGCACTCGGCCAGACAACCTGTGCGCTGTCCGATCGCCATAGCGAACACAACAATAAAGGAGTCTGATTTCAATGGAGCGAAGACTTCTATACTCTAGCCAGGATATTTTATTGGTTAAATTTGTTTAAATCTTGAAGCTATTCAGATTTATAATCAAAGCAAAGCTGAATTTTTGCTTATTGTTAAAAGGAATATATGGTTCATCAGATTAACTTGGACGATTAAGAAAAGTAAACTTATAAAATATAGACAAAAGATATATACTCTTGAAAAACACAACAACTATTAAGTCTAAGCCCAGGTCTTGGGCTATCCCCCTTTTGAAAGTGTATGTTTAAATAGCGCATGCAAATTAATAGCCAACTTTGGCCAAAAATTAATTGATCACTCGAGACAGGCAACAGCGGCAGCATTGCAGAGATTGCGGACCAGACTTATAGACCCGCCGATCGATCGATGGCCGGCTGATCGCCGCGAATTATGCCCGGGCCGGTGTGTAAGTGCCCGCATATTCGAGCTGATCACAGACTTCCTGAGGTAGCCGAGGCTCGATTAGGCCGGTGAAATGTTTTTTCATGGCTCCATGAACAAATTTCAATTAACATATTCACGCAATAATTGCAGGGGTCCCTCGGCCCACGTCGCTTGCGGTCAGCACATCGGAGAGAAGGCGGCCCACGCTCCAATCCCCACCAGACACGTGTCAAACTTCCGATCATTAGGTGGATCCAGCCGCTCATCGCACCACGCCCACTCGTCCAGCCAGAGGGGCCCTAATTAATAAACAGACAAAACAATTTTAGGACCCATCAAAGAAAATCACTCGAATTGATAAATTATCGAAAATGCAGTTTAGCGTGTGCCTTAGACAAAAAGATATTGAGATTAATCATTGGACCAGGCGGCGGATCGTCATCATTCGATGCGTTGGCGATCCTCTATGGTAATGCCGCCTAATTAATGATTGTCACGCATGGAAAGCGATGGAAATGTCGTCGTATAATCCAGTAGGTCACTGGGAAATGGGTGTAAAACAAACAAAAACGTTGCTCATGACGGACTAGGCGATGGAATATATTTGACAATTTGATGCGGTAGAGTTAATATGAAGAATTTATTGGACGTTCTCTAAATAATATCGAAACAAAGAAGTCAGCAAAGAAGACAAGAATTAATTAATTAAATTACGTATGTGAAGGGTTTGAATTGCAGTTTCAAATTCATAAATATTCAAGTAAATATGATATAAGAATACGATTTGTAACATGACTCGCAACCAATTAAGCGATTCATAAAGACCAAAGCCAATTTTAATTGTTACTTCTGTTGACTTACACACCCACTTTAAGTCATGGCAATTACCGTTGATCTGTAGCTGAGACCGGCTAATAATCAAGACACAATTTTTAATTTAAATTTGCCCCAGTGCCCATATCCCACAAGTATCTATCGCCAACAATGTTGCAAGATCGCTCGGATCGCACGGATAGCGCTGGGACCACGGCCCACAGATCTAAGTCGGCCAACTTTTGGCCCCTGGCGGACTACTCATTACAAATACCCCTGGACGGCGGACACTCCACAAATCTCCCGCAATTACAATACTTTATAAACTTATTTTTCTTCTGCCATTTCGGGCCTTGTATTATCGTCTAATTGCATCGCCGACGCTCATGGCATTTAGCGCGTCAACAAACGAGCCGCCAACGCCGCGACCCCAACCCCAGTCCCAGCCCCTTAATCCTCTCACACCTCTCGGCAGCGGTTTCAAAGCTGAAAAAATACATATATAAAATATAAAAAGAAGAAAACAAAAACAACAGAGTGGACCGCAGGCCTTTCCATTCATCATTTTTCGTTTAGTGACGCGCGTGCCTCGTGCGCCTCAAATCGAGTGTTATTTTTTTCACAGATTTTCAAATTGAGACGTCATGATCTCGTCGCATTTCCCGGCCCCCTCGATTATGGTTATGGTTGTGATTTTGGGATATGTACGTACAACATTTATTGTTTCATAAGGCACTGCGGGCATGCAACTAAGGCTAGGATAGAACATTGTTGTGCTTACGGGCTACGAGTATGATTTAGCGAGTATAAAACTGCGAATACTACGAAGATCAGTACAATAAGAAATACAACAGAAATACAACCGAGTCTTAGTCGAAGCTTATCTTTAAATACGGTAATTGCTTAAGTGTAAACTATAAGATATTTTAAATAGAACAGAACGCTAAATTCGTTCAGTTGCTAGTTTTTGGTTTTACGCCTTTGGTGCAATTTTGGAGCGACTTTTCAGAGATTTACAGACTTATTCAAGAGCAATATATACACGGGAGATATTAGCTTAAATTCGATTTTCCTTAGTTTCTACAATCTTTAAATCGACGTGCAAGTAAAGGTTTAACCCTACATTAACCTCCGGCCAATCCATAAATCATTAGATAACCATTTTAAAAGAAAGTAAATTGGAGTGTCCTTTGATGGTGACTATGTATATAAATCCTACAAAAACGTTCGATGATCGTTCGGTGGCTTAATTTGTAATTTGTGATCGTATTGGGAGAAAATGATCTCGCAAGCCAAGAGACTAGCTCCAGTTAAACCTTTTCAATTAGAAATTGATTACATCGGGTGGGGAGGGTGTCGAAGGTAGCCATATTTCTTAGTACTTATTATATGCATTTAGTAATTACACCACTTTTGCAGGTTGTCCGTTTCGTCTTCCTCCTCGTCGCTCGTCGAGGGCGGTGTGTCCAGATTGGCTATGTCCACATCCAGATAATCCTCCTTCGCCTGCAGCAGCTTATCCATATACTCCACGATCTCCGTGAAGGGTGGCCGATCGTCGGCATTGAAGTGCCAGCACTGTCGCATGAGAATGTAGATATTCATGGAGCACTTGGCTGGCTTCTCCATCCGCTGACCCGACATCAAGTAGCTGTAGAGCTCCTCTGCCGATAAAATCGTAGGATACGGTTGCTGTCCATAGGTCATGATCTCCCACAGGAGAATGCCATACGACCAGACATCGCTCTTCGAGTCGTAGAATTTCTCCTGCAGGGATTCTGGGGCCATCCATTTGATGGGGAGCCTGCCGTTCGTGTTCTTCCGGTAGTAGTCTGTGCTCTGGATGTCCCTGGCCAGGCCGAAGTCGGCTATTTTCAGCACGTAATCATCGCTGACCAGCACGTTCCTGGCGGCCAGATCTCTGTGGATGCAGCGCCGGGACGCCAGATAATCCATTCCCCGGGCGATTTGGTGGGCGAACTTGATCAGATCCTTCTCGGTGATCATGTGAGCTGGCGGTGATGGCGGCGGCTGAGAGCTATCCCTGTCCTGGTCCCTGCCATAGGGTCGATTGGAGTAGAGGAAGTCCTTAAGATTGCCGTGGGGAGCATATTCGACGATTACATAGAGCGGACCGCTTTGACTGCAGCATCCCAGCAAGTTGATGATGTTGATGTGGCGTCCGATAATCTTCATCACCTCCATTTCCCGCACCAAGCTGGCTATGTCGTCATCCGTGTGCCCTTCCTTGACCATTTTCACAGCCACAATGGCGTTGTTCACCTCCGCCATGACCACTCTGCCAAAGGCACCCTCTCCCAGGGTGGCGCCCAGCACGAGCTGATTCCGCGGCAGTTCCCAGTTCGAGTCCAGCGGAAATTCGTACTCATTGAACGGAGCCGGCTCGTTGCCACTCTGCAGGACGGTGGTGCGCTGCTTCTGGATACGCACCACGGGCATGATCATGGTGTCCATGGAGCCGCTCGAGTCGCCTCCGCCCTCGGGCTTGAAGATGATAACCTTCTTGGTCCACTGGTGGACGGTTTCTATTCGTTGCTTCAGAAGCTTCTCGTGCTTCATTTTACGCACTGCATAGAACACGAACGAGGTGCACATGATGATGAAGAGCAATCCCCCGAAGATGAAGATGTACATTAGGTTGGTGCGCTCTATGGCCACCCCAGCCTCCAGAAGATGCAAGCTTCGGACCACTCGAAGGTAGGCAGTGCTATTGGTCTGCCCCAAGCTGTTGCTCTCGATGCAGGTGTACCAGCCCTCCTGCTCCCGCGTTACGTTCACAAACTCCAGCCGATCCTGGTCGTAACCCATGACGGTGCGATTGTTGGAGCAGTTAGTCATCCCCTGGCAGGGCACAAAGATCCAGGCCTTCTTGCTGGTCAGGTCAGAGAGGTACTTGCAGTACATGTGTCCGCTGCCGTTGATCACCAGGGTGAGATTAGCTGGAGCGTTTATCAGGATGGGTCGGTGGTTCACGCGATCGCTCACAATCACCTGGGTGTCGTGCCGGATGCAGCCCAGGGAATTGCACGCCTTGCAGGTGTAGTTCCCGGAGTCATCCGGAACCAGATCCTCCATGGTTTGGGTCCAGCGATTCCTTTTGATGTTGCCATAACTGCGGCTCCACTCGCTGGTTCCGTTGCGGTACCAGGTGATGTTCGGCTCCGGGTTGCCCAGAGCGTGACAGGTCAGAGCGAGCAGGGAGCCCGAGGGTCGCGTCTGCAAGGAGCTCATCTTTCTGGGATACTTCCAGTAGGGTTTCGTGTTGTTGCTCTCTGGCACATCGGGCTTATTGTCATCATCATCCGCAGCACCATCAGCCAAGTCCGTCGCTGTGCTACTGCTGTTAGTTGTTAGCGTTGAACTTTTATTTGTTTTTCCAGCCAAATTATCGTAATCCTTTGACACTTCCTGGCTGTTGGCGATTTGTCGACGACCTGCCACCGGCACCGACTGATGCCACAACAGGAGCAGCGACAGCATCACCATCAGCGATCCGTTCAACATTATGAGTGGTGAGTGACTGCGTCTGCGACTGAGACTGCCTCGCCAGCTCCAGGCAGCAGCCATTTTGAGGATATTTATTTTTGTAACTCTTGCCAGAGGGGCAGCGCAGGCACCCTAAAAGTGCCACTTCTCAGTGCAAGAACTGCTCCAGTGCAAAGGCAACTGCAACTGCAACTCCCTTGCCGGAGTTTTGTCGCATGTGCTGCTGTCGGTTTTTTATTCACCGGAAATCCACTTTAGAGTGCTCCGCTCTATGTGCTCTGTATCGCGCTCTCTCCCTCTCGCAGCGGAAGAAGATCGGCGATCTTCTAGTTTCTAATTTATGATGGAAACAACAACAGTTGCCTCTTTAGCACAACATGTGTCTGCCTTTGAAGTGATCCTCCACTCCAAATCACTTTGCCGGCGATTGCAATCGGATGCCGATGATGCTGATGCTGATGATCCTCCGGATGATCACCTATCTTGTTGGTGCAACGGAAATACTTTCCCCCAAAAACAATGCCGCCGCGGCGTCTTTTAATTATCGGGGGCGGTGGCGTGTGATTTACTCAGCGAGTTGATGGATTTATGGCAGCCATCTTGTCACCAAAGGAGCTGTGATCGTGGGCGTAGATGATCGCCCGTTCCATAGATCACTCGGCGGATGCGTAGGGTGCAGGTTGGATTCTCCGGATCGTGTTTGATGTGACTGCAACACCTGGAAGAATGCATACGATTAGATTTATGATCACATCCGCTGGGAATATTAGTATATATAAACAAAATAGTTTCTAGCTTCTAGCAAGTGCCAAAATAAATGTAGAAAAGGAAGTGTATCTTTGTATCTGAAAGCTACATCCCATTGTATATACACAAAGTCAATGAATTGCCTTTCAATTTGTTTACCGGCCGCTCTCGTGTGTGTGCTCGAGCGTTTCTGCGAAGAATCTTTTTGGACTTGACTTGATTAAAGGCCATTTCCATTTGGTGGGCTTAATTAAAATGTCGCGCACATTTCCGGTAACTGGCCCGGCTCTCCCGCTCTGATTTTTGTCCAGCGCGTGCCATAAATTAAAAACGTCCAGAGGCATGAGCTCGGAATGTGGATACTGAGGTTCTCAGTCTTTCACGGATTGCATATTTTATCGATTTCGAAAATAGCTTTATGGCCGCGGGACACATACAAAACATTTCGGCCATTAAATGGCGAGACTTGCGCCAAGTTTACCTTTTCGGCGAGAGAAAACTCTTTTCAACTTGTTGCCAGTTTACTTTGCGATGCGATTCTATATATAATATATTGCGCCCTCAAATGCTCGTAGTTCCGCTTAATGTTCCATTCTATTTTTCGCACAACTCTCCGGCCCTGTCACTCACGTTTCTCTAGGGGGGAGAATAGGGATATGGTATCTCTCTAGGCTTTTTGCGCGTTCGAAATTTTCACGGAGCCTAGCGAAAAGTGTTCCAAATTGGGCTGCGTAGTCCGATGTACTGAATGTGCCCAATGCCAATTCCAATTCCCAATGATCGCGTATGATCTCTCAGTGTCTCTCTCTCTTTTCTCTAGACTCTCTCTTTCTCTCCTTCTCTCTTTCACTCTGCCTCTCCCACACAATGTCCTACACAATGCGCCGGCGTCGGAACAGAACGACTCAATTTAGTGGGCCCTCGAGTAGCTTCCACTTTTGCCGTTATATTTCCAATGCCGGCATACCCTGTAGTTGCAGGGTATATGGGTATATAATATTGTTGAAGACTTTTTTATACTTAGATACATTTAGGTAGGTTAAATAGTTTTGAATGGTTTAAATATCTTATAAAAAGAAACGAGATCGGAAATTTGCAAGAATTTAATTGGAATTTAAAACAATTTGTTTCTAATGACTTAGATCTAGAATAAAATTTTAGAAAATATAAGTCATTACTATATTTATTTTAGACATATATTAAACTATATTTTATTTATATTTCACAATTTTAAAGAGCAGAGTTAAAGCATTCAAAAAATCTTAGGGATATGTAGGACATATATTTCTTCTTTAACATACATTTCAATAATTAAATCAATGTCAAAACTAGTTTTGTTAAATACAAAAATTGGTACATTTATTGTATTTATTTAAATTTAAATTTATTAATTTATGTAAATAAACTTAAGCTAATGTCAGGTATCCCAACCTTGCCGCTGGTGCACAAAAGTCGGTACTGTTTGCTGGTCGTTGCCTTTGGCTTCCCGCATCTTTTCGCTTTCAACGGCAGCCTTAATTTTTCACATATGCTCGCCCTCTCCCACCCTCTCTCTCTCTGACTTGTCCCGATTATCTCTCGCTCTCTCTTTCTCTCTGTCTCATCTTTAATTAAAACAGACACAGTTTCTCTCAATGCTCTGGTGATCTTTCCAGTCGCATTCAGCCCACATCTGGTGGCTGAGGCAAAACAAAAAATTTAAGAAATTAAAAGCAACAAAAAAATGTGTTGTCTCTGCCATCCTCCGTCCGCCCGCCGCCCGCCCCTGGCCACGCCCACAGCCATGGAGTCGGAGACAAGGGCAAATATTGTTTCGGTTTGCATTTGGTGCTCTATTGTTGACTGCAACATGTGGGCACATCATCAGCCTCGGGCCTGTACATCCGAGCATCTACCTAAGATCGTGCCACATGTGTTGCACAGACATTGTCGCCGCTTCCCGAGGGGAAAACGAAAACCGACTCCTGGGCGAGATGGGGTTATTCGAAATGTTCGCTCGACTTCCAGGAAGGCACAATCGGCCGCCAAATCGGAAACTGCCAAAAAGTTTTCCCCGGCGTACTGGACTGACCTTCACCTCCATCGATCGTCCGATCGCACAGCTTAGTATATTTCCTGTGCAGCCCGAAAAATCGCCGAAAATAAACAAACGCGGTGCAAAGTATTCGCAAAGTATACACACAGCATCCATCCACCCATCCATCCATCTCCTATCGCATCCATTGAACCGGTGGTCAGCTTGCGTTTACTTCCATCGCACGGGTTGAACCCAAGTGACGCACTTGGTAATCCCGCACCCTCTCGGTGGACTTGAATGCCAAGTGGAGACCGGCACGAGTCTGTAATTTCGCACGGTTAGGCCAGTCAGTCAGCCATCCGTCCAACCACCCATCCATCCATCCGTCCATTTACCATATGCCACTCAGTACGTGACAGCGAGAAGGTTGGATCTTACATGGGGGAACGGGGAAAACATGCCGGAGAAGTAATAGATCGTACATTGGACGATGACTTGATCAAAAATTCTTAGCATTATCTTGGAACAAATGCAACTTTAATTTGAACAATTAAGAAAAAGTAAAATTAAACTATATTCTTATGTCTTAAAAAAGTTTAAAATATTTGCCCAATTTACCTCAAAACAGGAAAAAAAGCTAAATTTGGGAAGTCCAAGGTTGTATACCCTTTTAGTTTGCAATTGGATCATTGGATAGAATGGAACTCGATGTAAACTAGGTTGAAAATGAATTCATTTCAATTCGAAAAACTTTTCTGTGCTAGTTTTTATTTGATTTTCCCTATAGATTAGTAATTGTAATAGTATTTACGTTTTGTTTGCACCTATGGATATGATCATGAATTCCGGTTATCTTGAACGATCATACCGGAGATCGCAGCAATACCAGGAATCCGGCGGGGTACCTAACCTTAATTATCATTCATGAGTACAATTGCAGATCAGGGAGGAGGGACACCAGATCTTCATGTAGCAAACTGAATCATTTCCGAAGGCAACCGAACAGTAGCCGGAGCGGAGAGAAGACGGCATCGTAAAGCTTCCCGACCCACCAAGCAGATACCAGAGAAATACATAAGTATAGCTATATACTACTTATATATAAACACAGGCCGATATATAGACGTACGGACAAAAAGCAGACAAGTTGAAATGTTTGTTTACGCGGCTAGGAAATATTGCATGTTCCCTCCATCGATTTTAGTTAATAAACAAAGTCCCCCCCCCCACACTATGTCTGGAAGGGGAAAACCGAAAACTAAATTATGAATTTGAATTTGAAATATTTTCTCAGCAAGCGCAGTTGTAAAAAGGCGAGTAAATAAATAAATATAAATTAGAATATGTAGGAACCCCGTTGGAAAAGTGCTTTCAATTCGAGAGCATGAACCATAACAGAAACGAAACACACATAAAAGCTGATTTCTATGGGGCTTTCAGACCCACAACTGGCCATGTTCCGTACGCCGTTGTGTTGGGGGTAGCCGTGGCCAGAGATCAGATAATTGAACGATTGACTACACATACACACAGCGAGATAAACGACACAAATTGCTGTGGTTCGCCAACATGGAACCACAACACACAGCACATTTTACACTTTTTGGCCTTTGGGTGAAAAGTCAAATTGCTGCTGTGCGCGGTCAATCAGAAAGTAGACCAAACAAATAATTTGCGCAATTACGCAAAAAGCAAAATAAACCAAAGCAATGCAGCACATATGGACTACTATATAGCAAATGAATAGCAAGAAAAACACACGAGTATATGTATTTTTAAAGACTTACCTCACATCTGTGTGTTGCTCCAAAACAAAATACAAAAAACGAAATACCATAAAGCTTCTTGCCAAATAGTAGTGCCCTGTGTATCCAAAGTGTCTCTGCCGTGGAATCTCCCTCGCCTTCGCGGTTAAATGTAAATATTTCACCAAAACACAATTGAGAAAGTTCACAGAATTCGAGAATGTTTCCACTTAAAATTCTTGAAATATTTTAGTACGTATTTATGCGGCACTTAGGCACTAAAACAGAAGCTGCTGCACACTTGACGGTGCCTCACTCGGTTCAGTGCGTGTGTTTGTACAGTCCGGTCTTTCGAATTTCGAATAAATATTATCAATATTATTATTAACGAGCTACTCTGAGCGGTATTGATTGGGGGCTGTTCGCTTCCGATTTTCCTCCGATTTCCTAACTGTAGCGGCATGCAGTCCGATCGCAACTGAGGCCCAACCGCAGCCAACCGGGCGAGCGCTGCAAAATAAATCTCTTCAATTAAATGAGGGAACAAATGAACGAATTCATGTTCCCCCATCAGCCTGGAGAACAACACAACACACATCTCCGCAATGTATTTTCGCGGCAGCCGCATAAACAAATACAGAAAACCGAACAGAAACGCCAGCCACACATTGTATAATCCGGCGAAGGAGGGGAAGGGTCCGGACCGGAGCACAGACGGCATAGGGGCTAGTGGACGCCGACACACACATGTGTGTGTGTATCTGAGCGGCCTTCCCTTGGAAAGTGAAATGTAATTGAGTGCGCAGTCCCAACGCGCTCGTTCTAAATTCGTTCAATTGAGTCGAAAGAAGTATCTCAACGCTTTCCGCTTCCACAATATGTTGCATAGTTTTGAGCGCCCAAAAAAAAGTCCATGCATATCATTATGGGGCTGGAAGATCCACAGGAAACTCTGAGATAATCCTGAACTGAGGGATAAGTAAGAGTTAAAATTTGTATTTTAACAAAGTAATGTGGGTGTTGAATGTGGCTGTAACAAAAAATCCTAATAAAAATTTCTGATATTTATGATGATCTCCCTAGTTTACTTTCCTATTTACTGTAACCTTTTACTGAGAAAATAATTTTAAAAATCTCCAAAAATAATTTAAAATAAAATAGATATCTACCTAAATATATATAAAATCATAAACTAATTTAAACACAGAAAGATATATTATTTATTTAAATTTTCTTACAAATAATTTAATATTAAGTACAATCAATAATAAAATACAACCAAGATAAATCGAGTAATATTTCACTTGCCTTAAGATCCAACTACGAATTCGTTACAAGCTATTAACTTTAATAAATAGATATACATTTTAAATAGGAGTCTATACTGTGGTGATACTCTGATACTATGAAAAAACCTTACCCAAATTTCTTCATGCTTCGTTCAAAGTTGAAAGTCGGGAATGGGATTCATTAGACACAACAATACCTCGCTAAGTAAGTTAGCAGTTATTAATTATGGGCTACTTATGGTAAATGTGAGATGGCTCAAGGCGGTGGCACAACCAGTAGCCGTGGACGCGGAAGAAAGCCCCTCTAACGACAGACACTCGAGGAGAAAAAGCCATCAAAGCACACACGCTGTGAGCCAAAGACAATGGCATCGTTTAGCGCGTTTAGCGTTCAGCGTTTGTGTCTCCATGGCGACCTTAAAGGGGTTGACCAAACAATGGGCTCTGAGGGGATTTTAGCCGAAAATCGAAAACAATTAACGATTATTGGCTATCAATTGTGGCCGAGGGGCCCGTTTTGTGCCAAATGGCGTTACGCCTGACTGATTAATTGATGCTGCTGCCCGGAATGGGAGGATCTCCAGCATAGCTTCAACAGTTAACAACCTCGTAAAGCCAGGGATCGGGGAGAGCTGGCCACCAGCCACCGGCTGGCGGTGTATAGTCATAATACTTAAATTTTATGCACTCCTGGGCAATCCTCCCTGCTTCCAGCTTACAACTCTTCGGGCCGCCGATTCCCAGCTTCCGTATGGCTTTTCAATTTGGCCAGAACGAAACGCAAGTTGTTAGCGTTTCGAACATAGAAATAAATATTGGAAAATTGGCGCAAAGTCTGAACGCAAAGTCTCGAAGCCTTTGCCTCTGGGTATGGGAAATGGGAAATCGGGAATGGAGACCGGCTTTTGGAGACACGATCTCGCGGACGGAGCTGGGCGACACGATCTGCAACGATCTCGCAGAGATCTCGTGCAGAGCAGCCAAACAGCATAAAGTTAATTGCTAATATGATTAATTGCACATTAACATGAATTTTTATAGCCAATTATATACGAAATATGCCAATGGGAAAAAGTTTTCGGCCAGCGAAATTTGCTTCCAAAAAGAAACGTAAGAAAGGAGATCTTCATTTTTGCATAAATAATAAAATGAGTATATGATGTTTTCAAGATTTATATTTGTAAAATTTACTTTATCCGTTTTAGTCTGGGTTTAATTTGAAGGAAATAAAAAAGGGCAAACACAAAATATAGAGCAACTTTTACAGATCAAGTTTTTAAGTTTAAATTAGTCAAACACAAAACATTAAGAATGAAAAGTATATTTTATTTTAATTATCTTAGATTCTTAAATATTAGAATACAGCCTGCTTCCAAACACACATTTAAATGAGGACCATTTTGGCCATAGATCCCAAACCCGCTTCCAAACCAGACCAATTCATTGACTGATGTCGATAATTTATGCATAAACTATGCGTGGCAATTTGGCATCTTCCCAATCTGAGTGGGCTGCTGCCCCTGCCTGGCAAAATTATGCGGGTGTGTTTGCATTGCCACACGAGCAGAAAATGAGAAAAAAAATACAGCGAAGAAATAAATAAATAAATGAAAATGCAATAACCCTCGAGACAGACGGAAAACAAAACCCAAATCACATTTCAAATCACTCAAATACTATTGGAGATTCGAATTTGAATTATTGGCTCCACCTTGCCAGCAACTCCGGGCCGCACAGCATTTCCGGTCTTAAATCTTTAAGCGCGTGAGCTAATCATAACTTACAATGTGGTCCGGCAATTTGACAGGCGGGTTGCTGGCTGACTGCCTGACTGGCTGGCTCTTGGCCCGGCCCGGCCCGGTCCAGTTGGATGCCTGAGCCGAGCCGAGGATCATGGATCATGTGGGGCTGGAAATTGTAACCATCGAAGAGCTCGGGGCTCGGCAAGCTGTGCGAGCTGTCAATGAACTTGTACGCTCTTGATTGATTTATATTGTGCTGGCCAGAGGTATCTCTGTATCTATGGTAAATCAGCTTAAGCAGCGCGCGATGCCCGACCGTTGATATCTTGCTTTTAACGCGCGGAACAGTCGGAGCCTCGGAATCCTCGGAACGAAACCGAAACGAAAACACACAGCCAGAAATCTCGATCTCGGAGTCGGCGAATCTAATGAAAGGTGTATTAATTATATTAGATATCCCAGGCAACACGATCTTCCCTGTTCTTGGCTACTGTTCGAGCCGGGCTTAAGGCCTAAGGTGGCTCTATCTGCCCGTTCTGGCCAAGGGCCTTGGCCTCCGTCTCGGTCTAGGCCATAATTTAAAACGTGCTCTCCCAGAGGAGCTTGGGAAGGGGGCGAGTGGCTAAAACTGGCGCTTAAAAGTGCGTTTAAAGAGATCTCTCGGCCGGATTGGGCTTGGCGCTCGGGCGTGGCCTTTTAATATGTTCCCTGCGCTTAATTTTTTTTTTAGACTGGTCCCCATAATCCCTAATAATAATCATGTGCTGTAATTGACGATTTATGCTAAGCCCGATATAATTTACGCCGTTGGAAACATTGAGGCCTCACCTCAAACCGTTGAGCAGGAGGCGGAGAAGGAGTATCGCATAAATCATAACTGCACCTGGGATAGCAAAAGGGGCAGGTGGGCTCTGTCCTGGCTATGGAGCAGCAGAGGCGGTGTGGGGTGATCACCTGGAACCCTGGGACTGCGATCTAGGTGCCTGCTACTGGCCATGGCCCGATGGCCCGATGGCTCGATGGCTCAACAAATATTTCCCACACACGCCGGCGTCGCTTACAAGGAGCAGAAGCATGCCTCACTACACAAGCATACAAGTATGTCGGGCAGGTTACACACAAAGCCAATGCGTTCACATAAGTCAGTTAAGGTAATGGTCCACAAAATGCAAGGCGAAGATCCTATACCCTTGAGGGATCATTTAAGGATTTCTTAGCTCGCTAGTAAATAAAATTCTCTCCCTGGTATCAGTCGACACTCGAGGACCTTTTGAATGTTAGATTAAGGAAAAATTTTCTAATTATACTTTACAAAATATTCTGTTACATTTAATATAAATACATCCCCCGATCTCTGAATCCTCTCCCACATTTTTAAGCATCTTTAGATCCTGTAATTTGCCTCATGATACATAATAAAACCCTTATACCCTTTCCGAACTCAAAGTGTACAAAAAAGTGTTGGCACGCAAATTTATTGTTGTCGGTTGTCGGCCGAACCGCCGATTTGCGATCCATTCCGCAAAAGGCTACCGTATTTGATCTTGCCCTGCTGCTGCTGCTGCTGCGGCTCTGCTCCGTTCTGGTTCCCCCGCAATTACCCGGTGCTGTCAAAAAAGCGGGGGAAAAAGGGGCTCCAGAGACGGGGAAATCTTTTGGAGCTGCGTGCCAGTGCCAGTTTGTCTGGCATTTGGGCAGGCCTTCCAAAAACGTCGCTGACATAACTGTACCAGCCGGCGAGCGGTCTTGCGTGGTGTGTGGTTGCGGATTCTAGAACCGCGGCTTGGCAGCCCCAGATTTCGGCTAACGTCGCTGTTTTTGGCATCAAACACATGTCGAAGCACATGAAAGGATCGCAGGCTGGGGACCAGGAATCTGAATCGGTATCTGTATCTGTAAGTACACAGAAAGAAAAGTATCTATAAGGCAGGAATGGTTGGTTGGAGATTTTCCTTTGTCATTGTTAGGGATATTATTGAGCTACAAACAACCAATAATTGATCTAAATATATCACATGGTACATAAACCGCATACATATATTCTGCGTCTTGTGATTGTACCTGCGCGTTAGTAATTCCCAAGTCTTAATTCTGCGACCCTAAAATCTAGGACGACAGCTAAAGTATACTGATGAAAGTTGGTGGTACAAAGCGAAATATCTTTCCCAACAACCTGCTGCACTTGTCCTATAAAAATCAAGTTCCTTTAAAATGAAATAATTCCAAATTAAATACATTTTACTTATATTATTTTGGTTCTGTGTGGCTGTGAAAATGGCTGTGCCGGTGGACCGAGTCTAAGGCTTTGCATGTTTGGCGTTTCAATGCGCATTAATTTTGCATTGCCGGCCGTTGTTGTTGTCGACACGAATGGCTATGAAAGGTTAATAAATCAAATGCATATGCACGAGACAACGTCTGCACCTGAGATCCTGGCATGCGACTGTTTCGTTTTTTTT